AAAACATTTTAAAACCTATATGGTTACAGCTGTGATTGTATAGATCCTTAAATTGCTTTACAGTAACCACTCTGCATGACTTCAGATTTTTAAAAATTATGTCCTAGCAGTGCTAGTTTCTCAGTGTAACTTCAAATCATAACCACTTTGAGAATTTATTTCCAGATATGATAAATGACTCACTTTTTCTTTAATGTACTTTGTGTTGGCTTTCTCATCCCCATTAGGTTCAACACATCAGTCATACCCCACATTATTGAATCTGTTTAACAGACTTCATAATTAATCATTCAAATATGTTTAGGATGGTTTACATATGCTGTCAATTGGGGAAAACTTTTCTAAAATAGAATAAGGAAGGTGTGTTTTTGAGAGCTTTGTCGAAACTATTAATATATAAAGTGGAGCCGAAGCCGGTTTGGCTCAGTGGATAGAGCGTCGGCCTGCGGACTGAAGGGTCCCGGGTTCGATTCCGGTCAAGGGCATGTACCTGGGTTGCGGGCACATCCCCAGTAGGAGATGTGCAGGAGGCAGCTGATCGATGTTTCTCTCTCATCGATGTTTCTAACTCTCTATCTCTCTCCCTTCCTCTCTGTAAAAAATCAATAAAATATATTTAAAAAAAAAATAAAAAAAAATATATAAAGTGGAAATAAAAACACAGAAGAACATTATGAAATATATCTCAGCAGTTTGGAAAGCAGATTTAGAACTTTGTATAAAAATTCTAGGTCAAAAGATGTTGAACTTGAAAAATTCTAGGTCAGGTAAAAAACAGTTCTCAAGTGGACTAGATTCTTATAATCATTTCTTTTGTTTTACAAGCACTCCTATATATTTTTAATTTAGCGAGGCTTACCAGTATTTTAAGACTGCCTGTTTATAGCAATGCTAGACCATACTTCCATCTCTCAAAGAAAAAATGTTTTAGTATTTTTTACACAACTATTTCTATGAATAGATGTTGAGACAAATACACTTGAACAGAACAAAGAACTTCAAATACTGTGAAGAAGATATTTGTCTAATGACTATGACCTCCAGAGCTGTATTGGGTTTTTATTATTGGTCCAGGACAGTTTAAAATAGCAAGTTAGTTAACCTGTTTTTCTTTCCTCATGTAAAAGGGAGTTAATAGTAGTGTTTAACGCACATAGTTTTTTATTAAGATTTAAAAAGCAGTGTTATAAAGTACTGTCCCTAGCCCATGGCAACTGCTAGGTGGGTGTTACATAAATAAAATACACTTCTGGTATGTATCATTCAAAGATGGGCAAAAACCTATACTTTCTCATATATATTTTTTTGCATTTTGGGACAAGCACTGCAGGTTAAGAATCTATATGCTCATAATTGTGTTCTTGCTTTATTAACAAAAGTCAGTAGGAGTGCTCAGGTGTATATAGCTAGTAAACACAAGATTGTATATATTCCTGTCATCATTTTAGCTCCTATCAGGTGTTAGGCATTGAGTTACTCTCTGCCCTCAGGGAGTTTACAGTTTTGCAAGGAATATAAGACCGTAAATGTGCAAAGAACTGTGGAAGACAAGCACAGATTAAATGAGATTATAAAATAAAGAACTTGAGCCTAGTCCTCTGTGGTTCAGTTTAATATTTAATGTTAATATAAATAAGGAAAATCAATAAAGAAATGAAAAGACTCAGAGGTAGAGACAGAACTTACAATGGGCCTTGATGGCAAGGTAGATTTTGGATGGTTTCAAAGGATATTGCAGGATATTTCAGGTAAAGACAATGTGAGCAAGGCATATCTGAAATATGAAGACACTGGGAGTACATTTTGGTATGTGTGTGAAACAAGATTACCAGTGAGGAATTGAGGCCCATTCATGAAATTCCTTTAAAGCCAAGCAGAGTAGTTTAGGTTTGAGATGGCAGGAGTTTGGAGTGAGGATTTTTAGGAGTAAATTATGAAACTAAGGAAGATAAATTTGCAGTTATAAGATGGAGTGGAGGGACTATAAGATAGAAAGCTGTTGCAATTTTCCTGCTATGAAGGATTGATTAGCTGCAGGTGGTCACATTTGGCGAGGATGCTTAGATTCTGGAAATTAAGGGCACAGAAAAATAAAGATAACAGCACATTGTGTCTGGATGATGAGTGCATTGGTGTTAGCACTGTCAAAAACAGGTTAATTGTGGAAATGAATCTGATACAATTAAAGTAGTGTCATGACTATGTTGGAAACTTACTGCTATGATGTATCTGTATACTGTAGACCAAACAACTGTTTAAGGACCTTTTGAAAATCTGAACCACTATGACAGATGACATTTGCTATGGTGCAGGATAGTGTGTGGTCCACTGTGCAGTGAAGGAGCAGTGAGGGGTGGTGCCCTGGCCACCCAATCATTGCTTACCAGGACAGGGTGGTGTGATTTATAATGAAACCACTGGTGAAGTTTCTACAGATTTTGTGGTAAGCATCATTGTGATGCACAGTTGAGTTTTGCTTCATCAAATAAAGCATTTAATTTCAACTGTGTTCTGTATACACATAAAAATAAATATTAATTGGAAATAGTTGAAAGATTCAATATCCCCGACAAACTACCTTCATATGAATAAGCATAACATGAGATGTGTCACTGGGCGAGGCCCAGTGCACAAAATTCATGCACTGGAGGGGGGGGGGCAGTCCCTCAGCCTGGCCTGCGCCCTCTCGCAGTCCGGGAGCCCTCAGGGATGTCTGACTGACAGCTTAGGCCCACTCCCTAAGCCGGCAGTTGACATCTGTAGCACTGCTGTGGAGGCGGGAAAGGCTCCTGCCACCGCCACTGTGCTCGCCAGTCGTGAGCCCGGCTTCTGGTGCACTGACCACCAGGGGGCAACTCCTGCATTGAGTGTCTGTTCCCTGGTGGTCAGTGCGCGTCATAGCGGCTGGTCGTTCTGCCATTTGGTCGATTTGCATGTTAGCTTTTATTATATAGGATTATATTGTGCTGGTTTAAGGGGGAAATCTTTTTCAAAAATGAGTTTCACATGGATGCCCCTTTATGCGTCGTTGGCAGATTGTGGAGTCCACACCTTAGCCCTCGGGCTTCCAGGAAAGGGTCCAAGTCAATGCGCACAGTCAGTCCCAAGTGGGAACCTGCCCCCTTCCCCATTCCTCCATCCCTTCCTTTTAAGTGCAGCCTGGTTTTCAGGAGCCTGGTGACTAATAGGATTGCCAGATTTCGCAGATAAAAATGCAGGACACCCAGTTAAATTAGTAGTACAGGGGGGACATATACTAAAAAACGATTCGTATATCTTCAATTTGAACTTAACTGGACGTTCTGAATTTTAGACAACCCCTGCTTTTTCTTTAAAACAATTTAAGACAAAACTTCCTAAATGGGAGGCAAAAAGTAACTTGTCTGGGCCGGCAGCGGACGTGGCTGAGGGCAGTCAACCTTCTCCCAAACTTGGCCTTTAAGAAAAATAAAGCAGCCCCCACGTCCCGGCGCCTGCGCACTAAGCGCGCCGCGCGGCCTCTTTCCCGCGGAAGGGAGCGCCGGGCCACGCCGCGGGGCGGGGCGCCAGCGGCCGTGCCCTCGCCGGATGCGAAACGAGGTGCCGGAAACTTGAAACCCCACAGAGAACAACGTGTCCACTTAGACGGCGGTGAGTGCCGCCATTTTCTTTGCGGGCAAAGAACCGGGAGCAGTTAGGGGCCTCATTCTGTGCCGTTAAGCGGGTGGGGGGCCATGGCCCGCGGCCTCAGCACTTGGGTGACGTGGAACGAGGGTCCCCGCTTTGGGGGCTGACTTCTAGTGA